AACATTGGCAGACTCTGCCGAAACATTGGCAGACTCTGCCGAAACATTGGCAGACTCCGCCGAGGTATTGGCAGACTCTGCGGAAACATTAGTAGACTCTACCGATGTATTGGCAGAGTCTGCCAATATCTAGAAATACGCAAACTCTGCCAAAACATTGGCAGACTCTGCCGAACATTAGCAGAGTCTACCAATGTTCGACAGAGTCTGCCAATACCTCGGCAGAGTCTGCCAATACCTCGGCAGAGTCTGCTAAGAACAATTTTAGTATTATAAAAGAAAAAAATCCAGAATATATTATTTCAGCAATAAAAAAAATAGTAAGATTATTTTAGCTATTTTAAAAAAAAAAATAGATTATTCTAGGTAAATTTTTCTACATTTTTTATAATTCACTCATGTAGTGGATGACCATTATGTTTTTAACCCGAAGATCACTAATGGGCCACGAATAAGGCCCATAATAATTTGTAGCAATGAGGAAGAAGAGAAGAACAAACTTCTCGTTGACGGAAAATCAGATACGCCGATTCCTTCTCAATCGTTCACTGAAAGCTTTGTAGATTTTCGCAAAATGACGGCGGAAACTGGACAATCCTCTGGTTCGAAACCTTCCGATGATGCATGGGCCAAACTAGGTCAGTCTTTGTTTTGCTCCTTTGCTCTTGAATTGCAATCAAATGTTGTCGTTTCCATGTTTGGGTCTTTGATACTGATTTTGCTCGAAATTTGCAGTTCCATTGGACACTAGATTCTCTGACATTGAGATTAGGTGCAATGATATGGTAATATGCTCAGAGATTAAACCATCTTCCTTAGGAAGACATGAATGGTGCAGAATTACAAAGAATTTGGGTCCAGATTCTGCCACTTTACATAACAAGAGGTATGTATGACAATCATGTAACTCACCTTACTCATGTTCCTGTTTTGAGTGTTGGTGTTTTCGTTTTTTGTTTGTTTACCTTACGCGTCTTTGTTTACTTGGATTTTGTTGTTGCGGTTTCTGAATTGTGGTACTCGCTTAGTTCGGATGCTATACTTGTTGACGAGGCTATCATCCCGAAAGACGGAGTTGTCGATATCGTGTCTGGATCTGAAATTGTTCCTGGCCCTGGAGGACAAGGTTTGATGACCTGCTTATATTTTTATCTCTTTGATTTGAGAGGACAAGTTTATTTCTTAAAGCCGTTTTGTTTTCATCTAGAAAATGGAATTGATAAATGGTACTACTCCAGGTTAACGAATTGCGTTATTTCTTGTTGCATTGTATCTATGAAGGAAGAAAGTAATTGATATGATTTAGTTAGTAGAAAATCCTCTGGTTGAATGCTAAATATAATAAGAGTAAATGTATGGACAATGGTATTGCTATACAAATGTTTTTTTTCTCTTCTTTTTACTATGTAAATGTTTCTCATTGAAGTAGTTCTGAGCCTCTGATAATGAAGCTGTAGTTTCAGATTTTATTACTGTTTGTGTGGTTTCTTTGTTCAGTTTGATGCTGAAGTTACTTTTAAAAAGAAAATAAACTTTTATAGTTGTATTTATTTATTCGATTTTGTAGGTTACTTGATGTACAGATTTACTGTAATGCCTGCTCCAGAATCCAGAACCCAGCTATTAAAGGTGCTCTATGATATTTACTCCTAGTCCATAAATCTAGATTCTTTGAAAATTTAAAGTTGAGTTTCTATCTATCTCTTTGATTTTGCTTTCCAGATTTCAATAGATCCTGATAATGCAAAATGCAGTATCTGCTTAAACGTATGGCATGATGTTGTCACAGCTGCACCTTGCCTTCATAATTTCTGGTCTGCCATTCGTTGCTTTTGTACAGTTCGCATTCGTGACAGATATATTTCACTCTAGTGGTAACTAATGGTTGATGTGTTCTTCTGCCTGCAGTAATGGCTGTTTTTCAGAATGGATGCGGAGATCGGAGGCAAAACATCAACATGTGCTATGTCCACAGTGCAGAACAACTGTACAATTTGTGGGGAGAAATCATTTTCTGCAAAACATACAAGAGGTAGAATTATCTGTTCACTGCATATGACTGTTCTGCCTTTTCCTATAGAAATTTTTCATATATTCTTGAGCTTCATTTATGCTTGAGCTTTTGATGACTATTTCAGAGCCTGTTATGTTAGGATGTATTAAAAGCGGATACCACACTGAGGCGGCCAGCTGAAGATATCGCAGTGCTAGACTCATCTGCATCAATACAATCAAATCTTGTAAGTATTTGCTGCAATATCTTCTATTAAGTAACTATTTTGGGATATATATATATAGAGAGAGAGAGCATTTGTTATCAGGATGAGTTTGTCTTGCAGCACATTTGACTTCTTGGTGTTAGTCACTAATGAATCATTATCATTGGTTTAACACGCTAATAGTATTTCTTGTGCAATTAGTCGTGAGTTATACATACCTGCCATGCTGTCTTAAATACTACAATTGTCATACATTTTAGATAATTGGGAGCAAGAGAAAACGTCGTTTGAGTACACTCACGCCCCCACCTGAAGAAAGAGATAGCTTGCGTTTGCAATGCCCACAATGTGGTAATTTATTTTTATCTGGATGCTTGCTTCTTATATTTTTTCGCGGTAAAAAAATTATAATATTTGTCGTCTATAGAAAGCTTACTGACATCAATTTTCTTGGTGAGGAGGTGGAGTTGGATGATTAGGAACTAGTAATTGATTCGGATTTTTCCATTAGATTATATAGATTATACGGCTGCTTGCTTTTTTCTATGGGACTCTTTGGGGGATCTCGGGCTCTATCATTCCTCGATTGTCCAGAAATTTTCTCTGTTCGTATTTACCCCTCTCTAATATCGATTTTACTAGTTAATTTCCTTTAATATCTCTGAAATTCTATCATTTTCCACTTACTGATTATTACTTTTAACTAGTGTCCTCCATATATTATATATTTTAATTTCCAGTCCTTGCAACAGCACTCCTTAATTGTAACTTTTTAATGCTTGACATTTTTACTATGTGATTAAGCTGATTTTTCAAATGAGCTTTGCGATAAGAATCTGAACTTGTGCTAAAAAATTTGTTGATGGCAAAGGAACTTTGAGACTAGAATTTGGAACCCATTTTTCAGATAATCTTCTTGCTATTCTCCTAGTTTATTGAGGATAAAGTGATTTAAAGGAAACCAAACTACAAACTGATTCTAGTCCTTGTAAGAATGAATGTACTTGAGAAAAAGGAAATTTTAAAAAGATGAGGACTAGAGGTATCATCGGAAAATGCTGTCATTGATGGGTTTTATGTCAGCTTTCCCGTCTTAAGGAAGTTGATTTATTCTTTTGCGCCAATGGCTCTTTTGTCAGTTGCTACTATTGGTGGTTATCAGTGTGAACGCCATGGTGCACATCTGCAATGCCACCTGTGTAGGGGAATGGTGCCCTTTAGAACCAATCTTCAAGTGCCGTTACACTGTAAGTAACACTACATGCTTCTTAATTTTGCATTTTTCACAGTTTACATAATCTACTAGTTCATTGTTGTTGCTTTCAAGTGAATGGATACAATATGTCCTGTTGGTAACCTTGTTTTGTACTGATACTCTTATATGTCATCTGTAATCTGGGTGATAAAAACATAGGGATGCTGGTAGAATACGGAGAAAAGTTTGGTTTTTTCTATTTCTTTGTGCTGGATGTTGCAAGTCTGGACTGATATGTGACTATATTATTATTAATATTTAAACATGTTCATTAGGAAAGGAAACTCTTGGATTTTATAATATACACACATATATATATACACACACACTTAACTCTAGTTTATTGCAGGCATGGGATGTGATAGGCCGTTTTGTGGTGCTTACTGGAGTTCCGTAAATGTCACACACAGTGAATCTACTCCAGTCTGCAGTCGAGAAACTTTCAGACCTGTAGGTTGAGCTATGATCTAACCAATAGTGTTCAATGTTCACCTGTGTTAGGCATGTTGATACTACATCTTACCTTTTCTTTTCTATCGATGAGGTATTGCAATAAAAAAGTTGCACTGTGGTTAGGATTGCTATGATCAAGATAGTTTTGTTTATTTGTTCTTTCAGTTTTAGACATTTACCTGGTGGTTTCCCTTCTGCTGCATTTGCTTGCATGCTAATGTTCACAAGATATATAAAATTTATTTCGCTTTCTTATTTTATTACTTCTTACTAATATTTGCAGATCTCGGAACGCACAGTTACAAGAATTCCATTCACAACCCATGAAATGAATCGCCATGAACAAGATGTAAGGAATCTCCTTTAACGGGCTATAGATTTCTCCATTTTTTGTGACATTCTCTGTGTTTTTTGCAGATAACACAAAGATGCGTTGCCGAGATGGGGAAAACTGTGCAGGAGGTTGCAGCAGAGTGGTTCAGGCGTTTCAATGATAGAGAAATCGGTAATCTTAAGATTTTCAGCTTAGCTTTAGCAGAAACAAGATTAATTGAGCAAACCAATTTGTCCTAAACGTTAGACATTTAAAGAAACTGAACTTGAATTTCCTTAGAGCTTTACAACGAGGAAATGGTTCTTATCATTCTCGACCCTAAACCACAAAATCAAAATATATTCTTTTCACGTATGATTGTGTAGTTGTAATGATGTCCTTTTTTATGCAGACCGTTCTCGAATGCCTCTCAATCATGCTGAGATGATAACTGCATCAACACATGTTTGCAAGTAAGTTACTAGTCTCTTCTGTTCAAACCAAATATTCAAAATGCACCTTTTGAAATATAGAAGACTACTGGTGGTTGCTTGCACAGTAATATGTAAATTCATTTGATTTAATGTCTTAATGTTTCTTTCCATTGTGACATAAGATTGTGTTGTACATGCAGTGATTGTTATGATAAGCTGGTGGGGTTCCTATTATACTGGTTCCGGATAACACTCCCGAGAGACCATTTGCCAGCGGATGCAGCAGCTAGGGAAGATTGTTGGTACGGAAACGCATGTAGGACACAGCACCACAACGAAGAACATGCTCGTAAACGTAACCATGTCTGTCGTCCTACCAGAGGGAACCATCATCTTTAGTCTGCATTTTCGTGTAAACGTGTTCGTCGTATGACATATTTGGATTGATGTTTCCAGTGACAAACAATATCCCCAGACTCACTAGAGGAGCCAAGTGAGTCTAAAGGAAAATCTGAATTCTGATGGTACTATAATACTGGTTAATTTGGTTTCATAAACAAGAATAATAAATTTATATCTAAAAAGTTAACCAAAAATTCTAGATCTAATGGTTAGGATTACGCCACATGTCAATTTGGCAAATTAATGGACCAAGCGTATTAAAAGCCCTTAGATAGATAACAGGAAGCAGCGAAGAAAGAGAAACGAAAAGAAAGTATTTTCTCATTGACAAAACAAAACACACGAATTCTAGGCAATTGCCGATTTCTCAATCATTCATCTGCTCAAGTTTATCGATTTTGCGGAAAATTGGATTTTGGATCTTCTGATTTCGATCTTTTTTCTTTCCCAAGTCGGAATCTTTTTGGTTGATCGGTGGAGTCTACGAGCGAACCATGTTCAATTTCTGGTAAACATCAACTCCATCATCTGATTGAGCTTCTTTGTGATTATGCCATCATTTCCTCTCTTTTAGACTATGCTATATCTAATTTTGATTTTGATCATTTTTGGGGGAATTCGGAGTTTCTGTGTTCTGGGTATGTCTCTTCGTGATTAAGGAACTCTGCTTTTGGTTTAGTGGCGATTAGTGTAGATTTTTTATTACTTGAGTCCTCTAGAACCACTGAGTGTTGGGTTTATAGTTGCTGCCATCAGATTTAGAACATCCTGATCTATTTACTTGAAAGCTTTTTTGTTGCTTTTGGTCTCTTTAAAGTAATTCGTAAGAGGGTTTCTCTAGAAATGAGTATATTTGAGTATTCGTGTAATCAATCACTAGATTGCACTTCTGATGAGAGAAAGTATAGCTTTTTCTTGGTTATATAATCTTTAAAACCACCTCATCAAGAAGCATGAAATTGTGCGAGGTGTTTAGATTCTGCAATGTTAGTATATCGATAAGTTGTTGTATATTGGGTCGTGGAACAATTTCACAGTATTTAAGAATGTTTTGTGATTTGTGTAAAAATTTCCAGGGGATCAAAAGAACAACAAGGGCAGTCTCGTCCTTCTTCAGAACCGTCTCCACAACCTTGGTATTCACCGTCTCTAATCTCCTCGCCTAGCTCATCCCGGCCTCAAACATCAGGGCAGATTCCAACACATGTTTCACCAGGTGAAGCCGCCGGGATTATTGCATACTTGAAAGACAAAAGGTTAACTTTCAAATTCCTTCAAATCTTTCTTGTGCATGATATGTATGGATTTGTATGTCATTTGTCTTGTATTACACATTTCTTGTCTTGTTCAATATGACTTTAGGGCCTTTTAAGGCTTGGGAGTTTTGGTTAACTCTAGAACAAACCCTAGATTGGTTATTTGATTAGACAATGGTTTGGTTGCTGAAATCCTCTGTGATTTTGTTCTTGTCAGTATTTCATATGTATTGTGGTCTTGTATGCTTACTCTTATTTCACAATTCTTGTCTTCTTCAAATATTTTTGGTCTAGTGTGGATGAGCTTAGGAAGCTTCTGTCTGACAAGGATGCGTATCAGCAGTTTCTGCACTCGCTTGATCAGGTTACAATTCAAAACAATGTAAGTCCGAAACACTAAAAAAGATTATCAATTGTCCTAAAGAATGTAGCTTCTTCGTTATTTGAGATGATTAATCTTGTGCTTTTTCTTTCTGTTCATCAGATTAGAGAAGAGCTTCGCAAAGAAACGTTAAATCTAGCTAGTGAGTTCTCGTATTACTTTATTTCACAATAAAAATTGTATTCTCATCAAGAGATCTATAACATTCATGGTATTATAACAGGAGAAAACTTGGAGAAGGAACCACAGATAGTGGAGCTCAGAAACCAAGTGGGTATTATTCGTATTTGAGTGAGTTATATTGAGTATATGAAACTTCTCAGTTCTCATCATCTGTTAAATCGTTGTTAACAGTGCAGAATAATCCGTACAACGGAGCTTGCAACTGCTCAAGAAAAGCTTAATGAGCTTGAGAATCAAAGAGAAGAGATCCTCAAATTCTACTCTCCAGGCTCTCTTCTACATAGACTTCAAGGTAAAAACATTAGTTTGTTTCATTCAATATCCTCATGTATAACAAAACTATGCACATCGGTTTATAAACACAACCATGATTTTGTTCATTGCAGATGCTATGAACAAGGTCGACGAAGAATCTGAGGAGCTGCAACAGAAGTTTATGGAGAAGGAAATTGATACAACTGCATTTGTACAGAAATACAAGAAGCTAAGAAGCACGTACCATCGACGAGCTTTGATTCATCTCTCTGCTAAAACTTCATCCATCGGTTGAAACATACGAAGCTCGTTGGTTTTTCCATAATTCCATGTGTATGTAAAGAAGCAAGTTTGAAATGGTTTTCATAGTTGAGATCCATCTGAAAATCAACTATTATTGGATTACAGAATCATGTTATGATCTCTGAGTCTGAATCTTATTTCTGATTTTGAATCCTTCTTTGTTATTGGTTCCTCCTCATTTGTGTTGTGTGAAACATAGAGATGTGTTATCAAACTTGCAAGAGCCTTACGTTACCACTTCAGAATTTCTTTGTAGTTGATTAATAAAATTAAGTATGTTTAATTACAGGGTAATTTCTGATGATGAGAAATAGTTAAAATCAATTTATTAATTTGTTTGCTCAATTATATTACAAGAAAAAGTGAGGATGACGTAGCTTTGTGTCCAATTTTGTCTTACTTTGGAAAATCACACCACAATTTACCAGCCTCATGACTACAAAGCGACTCACCTTCAAGTCAATTTTTAATATTATTAAATTAACTATATCTTCAATCTGTTTACATTACAAACATGGTTTAGAGTTTTGACGCATCTATTAGAAAAGGTTGAAAAAGAGATTAATACGTAGAGAAATGTTTGTAGTTGCTGATAATTACTTGAATATTCAATGGTTGTCGTGTAGCTTCTTACGAGTGGTGTGATTAATTTAATATTGAACTGCCTAAAACTGCTCAGAAAATTGTGTATTTGCGTATAAGAAACTTAATTTTCTCATAATAAACAATACCGGAAATAAACAATTTGGTTGCCCCGAACACTAAAATGCTCTTAATACCTTACCAACATCTATTACTATTACCATTATCACTAACAAATTCATAATCTGATTGACAAAATTAAGGAAGATGAAGGAAATACGAAATTAAGTAACCATTATTTATACATACCAATCGTTAATTTATACGTACTTAACAATTAATATG